AATGTCATGCCATGTCCAGGACGATAACATTTACAAGGTTTGCTACCAGGAAGACTTCAGCTGTGTCTCCAGGTCAAATTAGATTCTTCATGATTCTTCATGAACAGTACGCGTAAAATGAGTTGCTCCTGAGAGCAAACTGAATTGAAAGTCCATTTCTCAAGGAATGGAAGGAGCAGAAAGGCGAGAATGGCGCCCTTCAGATTCGCTTCGATCCGCACATTAAATCTTTGGACCAAGAGTGCATTGCAGCGTCGCTCGGCAGCACAGCTCCAGTCCAGGCGTCTTACAAGCGGACGCTTTTGGATGCACTTGCACAGGGATACAAGCGCATACAACATGTTTGCATATGTTTGCAGTTTGCTCAGTGTCTTGGCATGAGGAATCGGGACAATACCATCGAATTTGAAGGCGGCTGGAAAGGAGATCGTGTGCTGAGCTCAGGTGAATTCCTTGAGCTTCTCTGAGTCTTGCTTTCAGAGTTTCCTGTGCCGAGGTTCAATTCGCAAAATCTTGTGACGATATCGCAGAACCGAGTGCAACTTTGCTTGGAACTGGCGCCAGTCTTCAGACCTTCCACTGTTCACCAGTTTGAATTTGGGCCCGATTCCTGCCACAGCTGCTCAAACGATTGACTTTGCTGAGGAGGAGTTGTTTGGCCAGAAAAAGCGTGCAATGTGGTACCAAGGCTTCTCAACCGACTGCACTGACCAAAATGCAAATGCATTACACATGTGGTAGAAGTAAGTTAAAAGCACAGAGAATGAGACAGTATGGCTCAGTCCAAGTTCTCTTCGTCTCTGTAAGCATCAGGAGAGCAGCTTGATGGCTTGAAGCTATGTTACAAGCCAGATGATTCAGATGCAGTACCATGGCGAGCACATCTTGAAGACTATCGCTTAGATAATTTGGACATGAGGATCTGAACACTGAGGGCGCTGTTTCTTGAGTAAAACATATCACTAAGGTTCCTGGTTATCGGGCTAGTGTGAAAGAGCAGAAGGACATCCTTTTGTATATCAAGAAAGCCACGCTGAAGAATGTGATCAGCGCGTTGCTGGATCTGAACTCGTTAGATTATATGCTCCGTTTACTCTGTACTCCATTGGGAGTGGGACAGATTGAGACAGAGGAGATGCCGGGACTTCCTGAGGTTTGGCCCAAGGATCATTCCGCCCAACAGCGAGACAACCATGTACTTTTGGGGCATGTGGCAGAACTTCGAAGGACAAGTGCATGTTGGTGGCAAGGTTTGCTTCGCTATGGAAGTGACTGGCTGTAAGGCATGTCCGGCGCCAAGCTGCATGCGTCAATTCTCCTGGATGATTTGTTTGAAACAACAAGCAACATGGCTCTGGTCTAGTTTCGTACTGAAGGTGAAAACGGTGTGCGAAAAGCCTATGACATTGAGACCCTTGATGCAGTACCTGGACCAATTGGAAAGATCACTTACAAATCTGATTCTTGGCCGATTTTCTTCTTTTTGTAGGGGCGATGCTGCAAGAAGAAGCTAGTAGCTTGAACTAGTAGCTTAAGTCTTGCGACAGGAAGCTAAAAGGTCAGGGTTCTTGAAGAAAGCCCTTTGCATGATTGATTTGGTTCCAAGTAGCAATGCCCTTGCTCCTAGTGGTGAGGCCAGGAGCCCCTAGTAGCGTCCTTGCTCCTAGTAGCGATGCCAGGAGCCCCTAGTAGCGTTCTTTGGCCCTAGTAGATTATTAGGGAAACTTGTTCTTTAGACCTTGGTGATTGTGGAAACCTACTGCGAAGGCTGCAGTGAAGGACACCTTTCACGAGATCCTTTGCTACCAAGCACCAGACAGCTGCCAATGGGTTCGCCAAACTGATACAGACCTCAAGGCGACAGCTGGGGCAAGACATTTTCATCCTGCGTTCGTGATTGATTTGTGGTTTCATCCTGTATGGGCTTCGTTACGCAAGTGTTCTGAAGCAAGTCTGGCGAATAAGGTGACCAATAGAAATGACACATGAAAGGAAGAAAGGTGAACTCTACAGAAGTAAACTCTACAGAGGTGACCAATGGCTACGTGCCACCTTCAACCTCGCCCACGAGAATCTCGTCTATTTGGCCACAGGTGATCGTTTCGAATGCCAAAAGCTGAGTCAGCTGCACTGTATTTGCACAGGTGCTTGTTCTTTGTTGTTTGCACTGTTTTTGTACCTTTGCAATCCTCGGTACTGTATTTGTTGATCATCGCCCTAGGTGATGACATCTATAACTTTCAATGGAGCTGAAGCAGGTGACGAGGCCAGGAAGGGGAATTCAAAAGCAAGTGAGGAACCTCAGCATGCACACAGATGTTCAAGAACTCTGTGAATCAGGCGATTTTCATCAACACTCTCAACAACACCAATTGTGAGAAGGTCTTACCAAACAAAGAAGCAACCCGGCTCGCCTTGACCGAAATACCTTCGCTTGCAATCCTGTCAAGATTGTGCTGGATTTCTAGGTTGGCTTTGGCGAAGGAATGTTCACCCTCTCAACGTTGGGTGTTTATTTGCTTTGCTACCGAATCTTGGCAAGCCGATTTCTGCCAAAATCTGCCAATCATTTTCACTACCTGAATAACGCCCAAGTGGAAGACTTTGATGTTGATTTACCAGACATTTTTCTTTTGCCACCTCTTGTTTACAGATGAGGCGTCGCTGGTGCATCGCAGCTGCATTTACACAAACAGCGGAATTGCAAACAGTGTGTGCGAAGGCTGAATCAAGCAAGGCTGAATGCTTTAGACGTTCCAGGCAAGGGACTCGGTGCTGCAGACTGGGTTCAATGTTACAGTCCGACGTCCTGGCGTCACGCAAGAGATGCTACTTGACCAAAACTTGAAGAGAGAACTTTTGCATTTTAAAAGAGATTGTGACACAAGGGCGACAACGGCGACAACTCAGGATCCGACCGTTAGAGACAAAAAGTGGCACCTTTGACTGTTCCTCGCTGCAGCTCGTGTCGCAGATGCAACAAGTTTGGGCACCAATCTATTTCAACACCAACTTTTTGGAGACGTTTGCATCCAGGTGCCGCATTGTGCCACAGTGAGTGACAAAGACTGTGAGACTGCCTATGTCATATACAAAGGAGCGCTTGCATGGCGAGTGGCTTTGATTCAGTCGACCAACCAGAATTGTGTTGGCAGGAGCTGGCGTGAGATGTCGCTGGGATCAAGAGTTGTGGCCCCCTTCGTGCCTTGGCAGGAAAAGACACGTAGCTCTGAGTAGAAAATCATGTCAAAAAAGTTGAGATGACCTGAGGTGCACTGGCAACTCAAGCAAAGCACTTGCTGTGGATATGTGCAATCCAGCGTCATGCGCTGAGATTTGAAGCGAGCTTTCACTGCAAAATGCAATTTGAAGTACTGAGGACATGTGGTGGAGAGCCATCCTTTTGTTGGTAGATAACATCGCAGCACCAAGTGCCATAGCCGGACTTGACAGTAGACGGAAGATGACGGAAGTGTATGCATTGGTCAAGGTGCTGCAGGTGTTTGAGTAGCTGTCTCTTCATGAACGAATCATTCTCCGCTGAATCGGCGATAGAAAAAAGTATCAAACTGGCTGTGAAGCAATTTGCATTTTGTAGCGCAGGGGCGCAGGGTGTGAGATAGAAGAGTTGCAATGATTTGCAATCAAGCTTTTGCATAGAGACTGCAAGGAGCACGTACTTGGGCCGTTGAGGCCACTGAAACGCCATCTCAGAGTGATCCCAAAGCCCAAGATGGTGTGGCTGGAAGCTCATTATGAGTCCACCATGACAACACTTATAGTTTCCTTTTCAATCTGGTTCGAACCCATTCCGAGGCCATGCAGAGCCTGCTTGGCCATCGGCAGCGAAAGCCTTCTTGGCCTGCACCTCAGTTCCTTTTCGATTCTCGAGTGTGGGACAGATTGGCCGAGTACTGAAACATGACTTTCCCAGCCAGTTGCAAACAAGACATCCTTACTTGATACTGTAAATACTGTCTTGCTACAAAAAGCTTGCTAGCTATTCAGGAGACCTTGGGTTCCTATGCTTTTCATCCCGGCGTTGCAGCGTGCGAGGTGCTGCATGCTTTTATGAGCTTTGCCAGCTTTTGCTTGATTCCACCTTCTCGCGCATCCTGTGAGGGCACCTCTGGCGGATGGAAGGGGCCATCAACACCATGGACTTCTTGGACAGCCACGGCGAGGGCTGATAATTGCAGGCCCTGTGCGTCTGCCGGCCTGATTTGCGAAAGGTGACGGCTTTTTAGTCACTTAGTCATGCGGGTGGTTTGGCATCCAACGAAACACTGTAGCGTATTGTTCCGTGAAGCAAGGTGCAGCCTTGGTACACTCACCACAATGTGACATATTTCTTTTGTTTCCCGCGTCGAATGTGCTTGTGCATGGGACCAGCTAGGAGGCGCTCTCTCCAGTCCAATTTTATTGTGTTGATCTGAGAGTGCAATCTTGCTGACAAGCAAAAGCCAAGTTTCTTCAAAGCTGTTTTGGTGCCATGGTGGCTCTGAGGCAGAGCCGATGAGGCACCAATGCCAAAGTCTGCATTTGGAGATTCCATACGGCATGGTAGGCTTCCGCAGATTGATTCTACACAATAGTTGGATCTTGCGGCAAAAATGAGAGCTGAACGTGCTGCGCCAGCGTGGGACTTTGTCAGCGCAACGGCAGGTATTGTCAGCGCAACGGCAGGTACCTAAATGCAATGCTGAGGCACCATGCAAATGACATCCCGATTCGACCCATGCGAATTCACATCCTGGAAGTTCGATTCGCTCCTACCAGCGTTTGATCCTACCACCCCTCTCCGACGAACACCCACTCATTCTCACAGAACAATCATGAAAAAATAAAAAAAACAGCAATGGGAGATGTTGAACGGTTTAATATACATCATATTGAATCATATTCATAGAATTTGTTGTCCAATTGCAACGTCCAAGCGCCAAACCTCCGGAAGCTTCGTGCCATTTGGCGCCTAGCCACACTTCAGTTTACAGTGCGAGGCACCCTCCCAACCGTCCTCCAACCTGCCCAATGCTGGTATCACTTTTGAGGCAGATTTGTAGCAAACTCTTGCAAACTGCAAGTTTGCGCAAAATTATGCGACACCATTGCATCAGCTATTTATATATTGGGTGCTTGACCGTTCAGGTCAGCCAACACGAGACCAGGCCAGCAACCAATTTCATCGTGTGGGCTAAGAATAGGATTTCCGCACCGCAGGCCAGCTCCTGCAGATCCAATATCAAGCGATCCTGTCCATGATCCAGTGATGGCAACTTTGATGCAGAAAATAGAAACCACCTCGGACGAGCCTGTTCAAAGTTTGACTTGTACCCAAGATTGGTATCCATTTTCTAACATCGCATGGTAGGCCAAAAGGCCAAAGGATTCTAGTGCTTGGCAAATGCAAGAACTCTTTAATCTTGAGCATGAATGGGCGAGCCAAGGAGTTGCGCAGGAGGATCGAACAGCTACTGGTCTCTTCTGGTGGTGAAAGCACCGTGGGAAGAGCTGAAGCAAAGCTTCGAACGACTTTGAACAGCAAGGCCTTGCAGTGGCTTTCTTGCAGTTCTCACTAAGAGCGCAGTTGCATGTCACTAAAAGGATAGTCGAAGAGCCTTTTGGTCTGAGATTGTGCACCTTGAGGTGCTGAGCAGCTTTTCCATTACTCCGATTGCCTGGCATGCTTGTAAAGAGACGAAGAGAGCTGAACAATGCTGAACTTATGTTCATTGATTGAAGGGCTTCAGATCGAAGCACCTCCAATGCGATCATTCGCCTGACAGCAAAGCAGGCCAGCCGAGCAGGATGACAAACGCGTTGAAGTGTAGATGCTTTCCTGGCAATATCCCACTTGAGTTTTTTCAAGGCTTGCGCCCTCTTAGAAGAACCAAGCTTGCAATTGGCTGCGCTCGAGGACGTTGCCTGAGAAGGTTTTTGGTTTCCACAAGTTCGCAGCATTGAAGAGTATGACTGCGAGTGCCAGGAGAGTTACTTCGCTCTTGGAGAAGAGGCTTCAAAGTTCTACACCATTTTACAGTTTCATATATTTTGGGACTTGAGAATTATGCTTGCCATTTGGCCTGTTGATCCTGCAGTATTCATCAGGTACTTCAGTCGGGGTTGGACTTTTCAAACGAGGAGTGCAGAACTGCAGCTAAGGCATGCTGCAGGTTCATCGCCTTGAGCATCAGCATGTGGTGTTGATTTCAAGCCTCACGGGGCCTTGCCATTCAACCGCCGACAAACAAGCTGGATGTTGGATGCCCTTGCCTACCTTTTTGTTCCCTTTTGGTTTGTTTTGTCGCACGTCAAGCAGGACAGGTTTCGAGATCTTTTTGATGATTTCTTGGCAAAACGAGAGGCCACCCCATGCTTTGTTGAGTGGACGTTGCGTGACAGCTTTGTTAGGCTTGTTTTCGAGACCCTCAGCTTAGACTCAGCTTGTGTAGGATTTGCGGATGGCGTCGCAAAGGACTGGCCATCGAACTTTGTGCACTTTGTGCTCGATGCTTGAGGTGAAAGTAGCGGTGACACATTCCTTGGTACATCTCAGTTTGTTTCAGGATGGAGCCAAAGAAGCCATACATACCCCGCACGCGCAGAGCAAAGAGGCTTCATACCGTATCAACCGGGTGTGATCCGGTACGACTCACGTGGTCTTTGCAGGAGTCACAGGGATTTGCCTCCCATGACAGAGGATGAGTCTGAAACTCAGTCAAACTCTTGCCATCCTATGATGATCGATGTCTGCCAAGGAAGAATTTACTACATGACGTTCGCAGAGTGATGAAGGCATCTTAGAATCAACTTATCCTCATTCCTACATTGCTGCAAAACGAATGACCGCAAAATCTCACAGGTGGCCACGCGTTTAGTAAAATATGTCTAGAGTCTAGATTTTGTTGCACCTATTGGCTCTGAGGCTCTGTCGCATGATACTTGGATTCCACTGTGATATGCCCAGAACGTTCAGCATCTAGGAACCAAATTCATCATGCAAAGGGTTCTTCAAGGCAGCTCCCCCCTTAGCCGAGGGGAGCTTCCTCGAAGAACATTTAACCCTGACCTGCGTATATTCTCTCTTAGTAGCTTCTCTCTCTCTCTCTTCGACGTCTTGGATGTGACTACCTGGAAACTAGCCTTGCTTCAACAACAGACGTGCGAGTTTAGGTCTCAGCTCTTGGAGGATGCAAAGATCCGGAGGCCCTGATGTTGAGTTATTTGTTTTTTCAATATTCAATATATATATGTATATACAGTAATGTATACACACATGTTTTACAACCCGTAGCCATTTTGGCTCAAGCCATTTGGCTCAAGCCATTTCTGCTCAAGCAAGAGGGCCACTATCACGGTGACTTCCACGGCCCTGGCTCTTCGACCACACTTCACACCTTCATCGAAGAGGTTCTTGACATCGAAGACGACAACATGCAGTGGGGCAGAACATACCAATCCTGCAAGTGCTCCGGGTGCAGGAATTGGATTTGGGAAGACAAAATCCAGGTGGGCTACACTTGCAGGCTATGTGGAACGGCATGGCTGAAACCCAGCCAAGGCTATGTCTCTGGGGCCAAGCAGGTCAAGCACATGACCAGGTGGAACCCCTTCAAGGACCGCTCTCCCACTCCACCACCAGGTTTGGGCAAACAGAAGCCCGGCAAGCAAGGAAAGCTCCAAAAAGTCGCGTCAGACATTCTGGCACCGGCATGGGAAGGACTTGATGAAGCTCTACGAACAAAGCTCATGGAGGTCGGCATCAATCCCATCTCCAAGCAGGTTGAACCAGACCTCACGGACGTCCTCAAAGAGAATCTGGCCAACCTGCCTGCACCAGTCAAGGAACTCGTTGAGACAATCACCAAGCCTCAGCCTCCCACTGAGAAGGACATGGCTGTTCAATTGAAGCAGCAAGTCACGAACTTACGGGACATCTCCCACCGCAAACAGATCCTGCAGCAGAAGATCGACAGCACTAAGAAGCACTACCAAGAGCTGCTGGAGGAGATGAAACAACTACAACAAAAGCTTGAGCAGGAACAGGCATCTCTCAATGCCACAAGTGCAGCATACATGACCAAAGTTAAAGGCTCACAAGCATCCTCCGCAACAGCAAGAACCTCTGCTATGGCAACGCGCCCTGGCGGTGTTGGTGCTGGGCAGGGGCTTTTGCTGAGGATGCAAATCAAGCGTGGGGACGCACTCATGGGGCTGTCAGACAATACCTCTCTGACGGAGAACCACAGACCTTGACAGGTTTGCAAGACCTTCAAACCATCTGCTCCTTGTTCACTCAGGATGAGCAAGCGGATGCAGCTGAATTTGTGCACCATCTTTGGACTCACTCAGGGACCACGTTCTTTGGGGGCAGATTCTTTCATCGGAATCACAGGGATCAACTAGAAGAACGAGAACAATTTCCACTCAACCTCATTTGCCCTGATGGTCAGGAACCCATAACTCTGGACACCTTGATCTCACAATGGGCAGACGAAGGAGGAGGACAGTTCCTCTATGGCTCCCCGGGGGGCTTGGTCCTCCACATTCAGCGCACCGCCCTGGTGGACGGCGCTTGGACCAAACACCACAGGGAATTGGACATCAACACCAGGATCAACATTCCCTTCTCTGAAGATGGACACCATGTCCACCTGGCCACCTATAAGGTGATTGGCATGGTACTTCATCAAGGGGTCGACCACCAACATGGGCACTACCAAAGTATCCTCTCGGTGGACAACATCCACTGGCTAGCTGATGACGAAGTCTATCCTCAGGCCATCCCACACATCTCTCAGCAGCAGAGGAAGGAAATCACTCAAATATGGCTCACGCTGATCCAAGACGATGAGCTAGTTCCGGACACAGCCATTGAGGTAGCTGCTTCATGCCGGAGAAACAGAAGCAATCCCATGAGACCTTGCACATCACCTTCAGCAATGTGACCATGTTCGGACGCAAGGTACAAGACTGGCTCTGGCACCAAGGGGACACCATCATGTTATTCCAAGAAACACACTTGGCCCAGAAAGCTTTAGATGAGGTCATGCAGTATCTCACGATCAGGGGATGGAAATGCCATGGAGTACCAGCAGAGCCAACCGGACAAGGAGGCAACACCGGAGGCTTCCTCACGATCCACTCAGCCAGGCACCTGCTACATCACGTGCAATGGATGGACGGCTCTCAGGATGGAGAGACAAGGAGGTGACTTTTTCCTCATCCAGGTCAATCTCAAAACAGGAGAGAGCTTTCAATCACCTCTCAAGGTTGAGCTTCTCGGTCAGCTGTTGCATTTTCTTGGGCATCTTCAATCTCCCTTCGTCATTGGAGGGGACTGGCAGAATAGCTCTGAGGAATTGGCTTCCACCATCATCCCCAGCAAGTTTCGAGCGCAGATTTTGGCCAAGGACGAAGCCAGTACTTTGCAAGGCAGTCACCTGGACTACATCCTAGCTTCCACTTCCATCTACAGTGCACTCCAGCTGCATCACAACTGGGAAGTGCCATGGAAGCCACACCGTGCCTTGGATCTCAAATTCAACTGTGAATGGGCGGCCCTTCCGGTACAGCAGCTTCAGCGCTTTCCTCCCATTGCCAGGTCAGCTCAGCTACCACGGAATTGGACCACCTTTGAGGAATCCAATGGCCCTTTCGAGATGTTGGGAGAACTCATCACTGGGCTGGGCTCCGATCTGGCTAGATGGGCCACACGCACCGAGAAGTACCTCACCCAGCTCCTTCACAAGCCCACCACGGGCAGGGGCTCTCACGTCATTTATCAACACGGGCCACTTCTGGATGCCAACAAGCCCCGCATTTGGAAAAATGGGAGTCCGTCCTTCTGGGAAAAGATGACAGTGAGATTGAACATCCTCACCCATGGTCATCATCCCAAAGTACATCAGGACGTCCAGGCTATGATGGCTCTGATCCCTCAACACGCTTCAGCGGATTTGGGTCAAGCTGGCTTCACGGATCAGCGTTGGCAATGGCTCATGCATCCAAGCAGAGACCTCACCAACTTGAGGCAGTCCATCCAGCAAGAACTCCAAACTGCTCAACAACAGCTCTTCAGTTCCACCAATCACGAATTCCGTGAATGGTTGGAGAAAGCCCATGACAAAGGACTCCGCGGCCTCTTCCGGAGTCTACGCCAGAAGGACCATGCCTGGCAACGACCCTTTCAAAGTCTGCCGCCCACACAACGACTTGAGGCACGCGAGAGACAGTGGGCACAACTCTGGATAGTCAGTGACGCCCCCACTCACATCAGGGGGTTACAAGAACTTCAACGTAGAGCTCAGGCACAAGCTGCCAGTTTCTTGCCCCTGGACAGCGTCATTCTTCAGAAGTTGATGAGGAAGCTCCCCAACAAGGCAGCTGGACCTGATGGCATCTCCTATGACTTCCTTCGTCACTTGCCGTTTCCTGCTGTGGAACGACTTGCACAGCTGCTCACAGAGATGGAGAAAACTGCAGAGTTGCCGCAGAGTTGCCCACTCAACTCCGCTACACCAACATCGTGCTGATCCCAAAGAATGAGAAGATTGAACGACCCATTGCGTTGACCTCATGTCTGTACCGGCTGTGGAACAGGTATCGCAAATTTGAACTCTGGGTCTCGACAAAGAGATGCCTTGGGATCAAGCCAGACCTCATCGTGATTGCCTGTCCATTGCGGTTGGCCGGATGATGAAAGCTGAGATCGGTAAGCGTCAAGGGATCTACACCGTCTCACGCCTGGCAGACCTCACTTGCTTCTATGACACGGTCACTTTAGATCACCTCATTGAACCGGCCTTGGACTTGCATTATCCTCCCCTGCATCTCAAGCTGGCCTTGGATCTCTACACCGGGCCTCGTCTCATTCAAGCGGAAGGCATTTCAGGGGAACCCAAGCGCTATGAAAAAGGCATCTTGCAAGGATGCCCGCAGGCGCCAGCAATTGCCAAGCTGGTACTGCAGACTTGGGTGGATGATGTCTCCTTTGACATCAAAGGCACGGATGCCTCCTATGTTGCCAGGGAAGCTGTCTTGGCTTTCAGGTCGCTCAAGCAACATGTAGAAGCTGCTGGTCTGAAGATCAACTCCGACAAAACCGGTTTCATCTCCAGCAGCAAAGAAGTTGCAAAAGCCCTGGATGAGAATCTACAAGACACAGATCCCAAGCACTTCAACGTCCTGAGAGATTTGGGCATCGACGCCACCAACTCCAGACGGAGAAGAGTCATGCAGATCAAGAAACGGTTTGCCAAAGGCAGGGGTAGAGCAGGGATCATGCACCGATTGAAGCTGAACCCGCAAGTCAAGTACCGTTTTCATCGAGGGGCCATACATCCAGTGATGACTTGGGGCTCACAGGCTAACGGATTAGCCCCCAAAGGCGCCAACAGATCAGGGTGATGGCTGCCAGGGGTCTCCGGCCCCAGAAGTCTGGGTCAGTTGATGTGGTCTTTGACATGCACCCCAACAAAGTCGACCCAGGAGATTCCATCATTCTTCAGCATGTCCACACGGTGTGGAAGGTCTACCATGCTTTTGATGAGAGCGCTCAGCATCTTTTCTGGTTCAGCTGGACCTCTGCTCTTGACCTTCTTCTCAAAGCCAAATACCGATGGCAGGTGGTCACAGGACCCATGCAGGCTCTGCAAGCCTATCTCCCGGACTATGACTTTGACATCTCGGCTGGCAAACTCTGGAAAAGGACTGGCTATGGTGGCATCCCGGATTGTGAGATCCAGCTGGAAGACAACTGGCCGGCCTTGCACCATAAGCTCCTTGAGGAATTTCGCTGGCAGCGTCTTTTGCGTCTGACCCGCTACACTGGCTGCCACGATTTAGAAAGGCCATTAGATTGGACGGTCAGCCGCACCATGGAGAAGATGTGCACTGATAAGCAATGCACTGCGCCAGGGCCTTCCATCAAGGAACTCTTCACGGGCAAGAAGGCTCATATGCGGAGAAGATCTCACCTTCACTCATTTGCTCTGGCAGTGCAGCTTCTGGAAAGGAAGGGTCAAGGACCTGCCCGACCAATGGCATGAGCGACTTCAAGCTGGCACTGAACCTGAGCTTTGGAATCGAGGCATGACTCAGAGCCTTTTCTACATTCCTGATGAAGGCATGGCCACTTTCAACGGTGAAGGTTTGTGGTCCAATCTTGAGACTCTGACGGTTGGAGCTGGTCAAGCTTTCTCGGTTGCCATCGCTCCCACGTGCCGAGACCCACGACACAGGAGATTTGCCTTTGCCATATGCATCCACAACGTCCACTCCAAGGACAGGATTGCCTCCATCACTGGCATTTGCCCAGGCCATGCAACCAGACAGAGGGCCTTCTTCTACGCCCTCAAGCACCTGTCCCTGCACATCAATGACAAGGTACAAGTCCCGGTCTTCCAGCACACCACTTGGAAACTCTGGACTTGGATGGCGGCTTTTGAGCACTTCCCTGACCTTTGTCAAGGCTTGGAGCAGGAAGACTATGATCAGGTCCGTCTCCGTCTCCTAAGTGGATCTGAGTTGAACAGCAGTCACAACCGGAAGCCCTTCCAAAAGGATACTCAGGCCAAAGCCACTCAGGCTGCCATTTTGGCTCGACCTGAGGAGATCTTGGATCTCCAACGTCAGGTTGATGAAGACACTCGAGACATCCTCTTTGTGGCCGCCAATAGAATGGAGATCATCTTGACTGACAAAAGTCACTTCTTGTACACCAAGCACAAGCAGGACAGCCCGGCCAAGATTCCCCTCATCCAGCAAAAACGTGAGCTGCTGGCCAAGTACTTGGAGGAACCCACTCGGAATGGGCACCAATGGCAAGCTTTCAGATCTGGAGTACAATGCACTCTGTGTCGGAACAGGCTCCACGCCAAGTCACTCCTCAAGGAAATCCAGGAGGGCCTTCAAGCGCCATGCACTCAAGCCATTTTGGCCAAAGAGCACAAAAAGACCCGGTTCGAGGTCATCCATGACATCCTGGACATGCAGCAGGCTCCGGTTGAAGGGCAGCACCACTTCAAGCTTGACAAAGCTTACCTGAGGTGCCAAGTTTGCCGATGCTACATTTTGGCAAGGGCTGGGGAGGAGCAGTTCCATAGATTCCTTGGCTCCTACTGCCATCATGGGCCACTGGATGCAGCCGAATGGAGGGGGCACCCCACGCATCAGATGATGCGCACAGGAAACATGGCTGAATGCATGCAATGCAAAGCCAAGACGAAGTGGACCGGCAACAACTGGGAGCTCACGCCCAAGCTTCGCACCACTTGTTCGAGGCCCGGATCAAAGGATCTGAGAGCCATGTTCAGCTGACCCAGGCACCGGAAAAGAGACGTGCAAAAAAAAACACATGTTTTACAACTTTCGCTTTTCTTAGCCTCATTGTTTTTTTCTATCTTTTTGCTGGGTGAAGAGGACGGGGCAACTTGGAAGCTAGCTAAGTGAGATAAGGTGGTAAACATGAAGACGGTTTCCAGGTCTTGAGGGACATTGAACCATCCATGTGCTTCTTTGGATTGTACACTATTGTTTTTGCAGGGCTCGCTGGAAGCTGCCATTGGGACTTTCTCTTTGGCAATGGCTGTCCTTGCGGTGTGACGAGCAGCTCACCACAGCACTCCCCTCGCCAGGTCTTCTTTGTTCAAAGGGACATTCCCTCCCTCGCAATTCACAAATTCCTTGAACTAGCCTTGGCTTTGACTAAGGTCAATCAGGGCTCCGATATGCTTCTGCAGCTATCAGAGGCAGGGTTCATGCATATTGGAGCCTTCACCATTTCTCTCTTGTTGCAACAATTGGTTTTGCTTCTGTATTCGAGGGAGCAGTTCCTCAGAAGGGCCTTCGGATGAGTAATGAGGAAAGAAGGCAGCAGGCCAGATCTAGGAATGCATAGTTTTTCTATTTTGGATCTCTGAGATGCTGCCCCGTTGGATCTGAGTTGTCCGAAGCTGTCTTCGAGACTCTGGCTGTTCTGCAGCTTGGCAATTTATGATAATGCCACGCTACATGGAGAGTGAAAAAATAAATTGACAGCTTCTAGTAGTCGCAGAGCCTTTCTGTTCTGATTTCGTTGTTCATATTCCTCAATGTAATCTTCTTCAGCACTAGGCCACAACAAAAAGCAGGTCCTTTTATCATTGATTCCTTCCATCTTTACCTGCTGAGTGTCTCACCATGCGGTACAAGCAGCATTCTCTTTCGTTCTTGGTGTGAAACCACACCCAAGGCCTGAGGGCCTGGAGTAATGAAATGCAATTTCATTCCTTCGTTGTTCCAATTAGCTGAAACTGTGGATTCAAGGCAGCGAGACTTTCCTCAAGGAGGAGGGCTTGATGTGGATGATTTGCGGCAAGTTCCAGAATCAAGCTTAGTGCCAGAAATCTCTGCATGTGACTCCACATGTTAAGTTTCCTCGAAATCTAGGAACCAAATCATTAGTGCGAGGGCTTCCTTGGCGGGGGGAGCTTCCTTGAAGAAGCGTGAGCTATTCGGCGTCCTCTTCGTAGAAGCTAACTTAGCCCAGTAGCTTACTACTCCCTTAACTAATTAAATAAGAGCGGCTAAAAGGACAAACATTTACGGTCCGTGCCAGATGGATCAGATCATTGGAAACAGTCAAGTCTTTCAGTTTCTGGGATGAGGCTGTTTCGCGTCACCAGACTGCAACCCTGCAGCCACCAAGCCTTTGCACACAAGTTGAGCATTCGGTTGCGAATACTGTAATTCCGTTTTGATTGTTTAGTCACTTTGTCACTTGCATGCTGCATGCAGACTAAGGTTTGCAGTTTGAACGTGCAGCCTTGATTCAGGCTCAGACTTGTCGAGTGACGAAGTGTGTTCAGTGTGTTCCTTCAGCTTGCTAGGCCTTGAAAAAGCAGAGGACTTTGGAGGCTCATTCTCCAGCAGTTTCTCTTTTTTCTGTAAGCTATTAGGTTGGAGTGTAAGCTAGGTCTTGAGCCGCAAGACGCGGTGCGTTTTTCTCGGACGAGCAAAGTCAGGTTTCCTCTCGAGGTGGGCGCTTGATGGTGCGTCTTCGCGACGTCTGCCTCCCATGCGGAACTGGTGAATATATGGCATACAGTGGGAATGAAAAAAAATCATATATATATTTGTGATTCTTTCAGTAACAGTGGTCCTGGCAGCTCAATGCCTAATCTCGACTTGTAATCCATCCTAAGCGCATGCACGAATCCCGCTGTTGATTCTATCGAATGTCCACTGCATGTATTGTGTGCAAAACATCCTCAAACTATACAAGTTTCCTAAGAATGGGGGACGCTGCTAGGGGCTCCTGGCCGTACTACTAGGAACAAGAAGCTACTAGGGGCTCCTGGCATCGCTACTGGGAGCAAAGACGCTCCGAACGGGGCTCCTGGCCTTACTACGAACGGAACAAAGGGCACTACGAACGGAACCATAGGGCATCGGTGCGAGCGCTTCAAGGAAGCTTTCCCCCTCCCGCCGTATGCGAGCTTCCTTGAAGTACCCCAGGTTGCCGGCGTCCGGTAGGAGCCGGCCTACTAGCTAAGCTACCTTAGTAGCTAGCTACTTCCTTTACTTGCTTAGCTACTAGCTATACTATGCTATACTTATGAGCTCACCTCACGGCCTACCCCCTTAAAAAAGCAGCATATAGTACATAAGGGCTCTAGTCTAAGGAATGCCTTTTTTTGGACAGGCAACACAGCACCAACGCAGCACAGTTTGGACCAAGGCACCGCAGCAAGGCGAGCCAAAGGAACGGAATGGACCCGTGAAAACGATAGACAGGCACAATGCAGTGAAGCAACTTTGTGTGGCAATGCTTTTAGCTAACTGTGAAGCATTTCACAGCAATTCTCTGAAACCAATTGTCACTTTTTCCTCGAATCACTTCATGCAGCACCAATCGGAAAATCATGCTTTCGTTTCCGTGAAGTTCATGATTGAAAAGGTAGACTGGTAGACCTTTACACAGCAAGTGTACAACAACGTGACTTTTGGCTCAAGTGGCTGCTGTCTTGTTGCCTTGATCATTTTCCGTGCCAATGGGATCGCAATGACGAACTGGGAAGACTAGAACATGCAAAGACCTTTAACTTAATGCTAGGAGCCTGACCGCAGGAACTGCCGGGAAATCCTTCATTCACTTTGAACTTTCAAGTATGACGATGAAAGAGCACCAATCTAGCTTTTCTATGCTTTTCTTTGCTCTGCGATACTGACACAGATGTAGACATGGACAAATCTTGTGCCTGGTACAAAATTTCAATCACTTTTGAGGCCATGGGTGGAACTACTACTTCGGAGTCTGGACCACGGAGGCAAGGTTTCATGATTCAATGATGTCCCAAGGAATTTTGAGGTAGGAGCAAGGACGCTACTAGGGGCTCCTGGCATCGCTACGAGGAGCAAGGACGCTACTAGGGGCTCCTGCCTTTGCATCAGCTTTAGCTTGGCTCGTTGTCTTCAGGGAGTTCATTTTCAGCACGACTGACGAGCCTCATGTCACCAGAAGGCCCGGGCACACCAAAGGAGCATCATAGCAATGTTCACATGGAAGCAAAGCATCATTAAGCATCATTACCAGGAGACCTATATTTAGCTTAGAATTTATAAATGAGGAAAAGCTTGTCAAGAAAAAATTCTTGATTGTAGTAGCAAGGGGTAGTGATGTCTATTCCCCCAAGAGCAAACCCACAAATGCCCTAGCCCTAGTAGTATGGGGGAGAGTGTTTGTGTTGTTCCGCTGCAGTAAGGTGATGTAGGGGGTGGTGAAGGGTACTGTTGGGTACCCTCATAGGGCTTGCTTGAATTCTGCTTGTGAAGCTGTGCTGTTCCGGGGTGCTGCCAGAGCAAGGGATGAGTGGAGAGGTGGACCGAGTCTCTCAAGTACCTGCATTTTACGGAGTGGAATCTAAGCATGGAAGCAACACCAAGCTCAGCTTGGTTCGGATTGTTTCCCTGGTTTGGTGAACAAAGTAAGACCATCAAGCTCTGAGTCATTAGCGAAGTTGGAGGCTCCTGACTTGCACCTCTCCAGCACGGTACGTTTTGTAGCACAGTCAGCACTTACTAACGCCCCTGTTCTAAGACAGGCACCGCAGCTCCTCCCAATCACATTGAATTCTTTTTCCAAGACAGGCACTGGGTTCCTCTTGTGCTTCATTCGGTGTGGATGGTGCTTCTTTGAATGCGTCCAATATATAGATGCAACCTATAAATGACAAATTCAAAAGGATGAAATCCTTCTGCTAACGAAGAGTATCTCAACCAGTGGCTGCTCTTGTTGGCTTGTGGCATGGGCTTGCGTGCTTCCCAACACCAATACTGGCCATCGATAGTCTCCACAAAGCTGCCACTATGGAAAGTCGTGGTTCTCTTCATCAGCCAGACAGCTCCTTGTGATTATTTATATCTGATCAGGCTCTAGATGTGAACAACCGTAGGACATCCGTGCCCCTTCTGAAGGAATCACATGTGGTGGCGGCTTTGATTGTTTTTCGAGTGCCCAGCGGATATACTGGATGCCTTATCAGATTCGGAATGCGCATCATGTCCTTTCAACATGTACATATTGCTTGAGCCAATTTGCGAGGGCTGAGATTTTGAAGAAGCATCCAGAGATTACAAGTGTGGAGCTGGGATTCAATGTGCTTTGCTAACAATGAACCACAGATTGCTCTTAGGCCTGATGGGGCCAGAGTGGCGCACAAAATACATAGTCGCTGCAACTGCCCAAAGCCTAGAATTTAAGTGCCTTACTAGTAGTAACAAGAAGCTATTAGTAACAAGTGCATCGCTTCTAGTAACAAGTGCCTTACTAGTAGTAACAAGAAGCTATTAGTAACAAGAGAATGCGAGAGAGACCCACTCACTGACCCACCCAGTGGAACGCTGTGCTTTGGGTTCCACAACAGCAACCCGACTGGACTGCCACCTTTTTCTACGATTTTGCTTTGAAGTTTAGGTGCTTTGTGGCTCTTATGGCCAAGACTAAGCAAAGAGGATAGATCTGATAGCTGATTCGATCGTAGAGATGGCAAAGCTCCTACTTGCCCATGGCCGCATGAGGCGACTGTCTTTCTGGTTGGTTCTGGGTTTGCTCGTTGCACTCAGCAGCCAGTCGTTTGTGGCTGGTCGGAGCCGTCTTTCTCGGCGTTTGGCCAGTGAACGGTTTGCAGATTCCGAGGAGACAAGCCTGACGTCAGATGCCGACAACGCTGGGTCATCAGCACTTTTGGCACCTCTGAAGGTGGCAAGCATGGGTATGGGACTTCTGAAACCAATCTTCGCTGCAGAGGCACGGCTTCAGGCTTTGGCCTATGACGATGAAGAAATCAAGGCCAAGATTGCTGCAGATGTGAAATCTGCACCAGTGGTCGTGTATACCTACTCTTTATCTCCATTCTGCACTGAAGCCATCAAGCTTTTGGATGCACTTGGTGCCGAGTACAAGGAGATTCAATTGGCACCTGAATGGTTCCTCATGCTTGGCGAGAATGCGGCGAAACGGGCTGAACTGGGCTCGCTCTATGGGCGAACAAGCATGCCACACATTTTTGTTGGAGGCGAAAGCATTGGGGGGCTCATGGATGGACCTGGTCTTGTGCCGTTCAAGCCTCAGTTTCCCTTGCATGCTCCACACCCTTCAAATAGTTGCAATTATTGTGCACATCTCAAGGCATCAACACACAATCTTTGCCTTTCTTGGTTGTTTTGCAACATGTTTTTTCGCTTTCTTGCCAATCTCTGTTTTACTACCAGAAAGTGGGCTGGCTCAAGCACTTGCTGCTTGCTCGTGCTGGCTTGCTCACGTGCTTGCCTGCCTGCGTGCGTGTGTGCCTGTTGCTTTGCCTTGCAAACTCGCTGTTTGCCTATTTCTCCCATTTCTTTTGATTGTGAACATCTATCACCTACACCTGCTGATGGGGTCAATCAGACAACAATTGCTGGCACTGATCGAAGATCCAGCGTTGCCCATTATGAACCATGTGTGTTCTAAACCTCTTTGAAGCAATGAACGCATCGAAGAAGGATGAGAAAATTGTCATACCCAAGCAGTTTCAGTGCAACTACTCGGTATAGCGCATGGCGTGCTTGATGCTGTTTGTCCCTGCCTGGATCAAGGCTGTACGAGAGCGGCGAGCTGGAAGTCAAATTACGGGCTGCTGGTGCATTGCCTCAAAATCAGGAAATGTGGGGCAGGGGTTAAGTCTGAACCTGGGTAGACTGATGCAGCAGCCTTCACTGAACTTCACATTGCCTGGCAGGACCCTGTGTCTTCTTTGCTAGCGTCTCTGCGATGATGAATACAGCATCCCAAGAAAGCAGGTGATCTCTTCAAAGCGGTGCTTCTGTTCTTCCTTGCCTTTTCGCTCCATGACCAGCTCCATGAGAGCGAAACTTCTGGGCCCAAAATCGGGCACCACAATCCAGCACTACCTGCACCATTCCTCTCCAAAGTCCACTTTGCGCAGCTGGTCGGGGAAATCCCCACTTCGGGCTGCAATTTTCGGACTTTGGAGTCTAGCGGGCATGGCTGTCCTTAGTGGACTTTCCGGTCCCAGCTTGGTGAAAGGACTCAATTTCGGCTATGGAATGGCCTAAAACAAGAGATGGAACAAAAGAAGGTAAGGGACCAATTTTGAGCCTTGCCTTTTTTTGGTCAGCTCTTCTTTTGGACCTTTCCAAAGATCTTCTTGCCAGAACGTTAAACTGGGGCAAATGTGTGATCAACGACCAACCGCTTGTTTACTCAAGGTCATGTTGCAGATTTTCATGGCGTGGCGGCAAGCTAAGCATGTCAGTACTGACTAGCTTTTTCATTGCGGTTTCATGTTTGACTCAGCTTTACTTGAGTGAGGCTGACGCTTGAGTGGAAGTGGCCCGCCTTTCTCACGGCTCTTTACGCATTCAGCTTACCAGCAATTTTCGTGCATTTGTTTTCTTGAGAACTCGTTGAACTCCAACGGACGTCCCAGGTTGTTGGAGCCACGGCAAATCACTCACTTTTCCTTGCCATTCATGAGTTAGTCTCGTCCTTGGAACGTGATGCGAGCTTGGGGTTGCGGATGGTCATGACTGGCCGTCAGGCGCACAATCTAGGAGCGTCAACGCCCGCGTCTCAGACATGATATACTCAAATAATCTCAAGTATGCGATATGATATGTGTTCTTCAAGCAGCTGCTGACAAAGATAGCTCCGAGGATTTGGGGCAACAAGGCAATCTCGCTGCTGGCAAATTTTCCAATTGCGAGGGCGCACAGCAGTTCTTTTCTAAGTTACCATGTTTGCCTTGATATTAGCTCAGGCAATTCCATATGCGATCAACTTCAAGCCGCAACTTGGTCAAGAGAGACTTTGAAGGAGATTTTCAAGCGGCCAGTTCTCCGATGCTGCTCTTTCTGCGTGTTTGTCCACTGGATGATAACAATGAGAACATGCAGTGTGGGGAACCTTGATGGAGCCCTGACTAGTTGCGCATATGTGACCTCATGCCTGGAGCATTTATGGGATAAGCTGAGCTGAGGTACCATATGGAGAATCCTTGACTTGCTTCAATTGGCCACAGTTCCTTGAGAAAATGTCCAGCGCATCGGGTTGTCAAGATTTCGCCAGGCACCACAGATATCAGGGCCAAGATGGTGTTGACACAGACGTCCCCAGTCGATTGGAAGGGTGGCCTTGCTGAAGCAACAGTGACGAGCTGTTCCCATCTTTTGCAACTACAATCACGCTTTCTCACTTTGGAGCGGTTGAAGATGAGCAAAAACTAGCAACTGCCCTGTGTTGCTGCGGCTCTTTACAAGATTCTTTAGGTGGATCCTCACCGATACATCCAACGGCTACGTGGACCGCACCTGCCGGAAGGAGTGAACAGCCATGAACAGCATTTTGTTGTTCTAGATGGTTGTATCGTAGATGTTATAGTAAGTACATCTAGTTCTGGCTGCTTTTCAGCAGGCGCTTTTCATGTTTCTTCAGATTTTCTTCTACGCGTCTCACACTTAGCCAAGAGCAACTGCATTCTCAAGTGATGATGCTGGAGTCAGGCTACGACCAACTTTCATCAAGCCTTCCCTCGTCGCAGCAGATGTCATTTAGCTCAGCAGAAGATTCAGTTTCCTGGCATTTCATGCAAGGTTTCTTGACTTTCGGAGGCATGGATGGTGCTCAACTATATTTTGCAATTTTCGTGGTTGTCTGAGATTGAGGGTGCTGCGAAGAACGATGACGATCGACCAATATTCATTGCATTTGACGGTTCTTGCAGGCAGGGCATCGGAGACATGTGGCCAAGGTTTGACGGCTTTATGATCTATTGCTTTGGTCCCCAGGCTGGGGTCGTCCTTTGAACAAATAGACGTCCTAAGAGAGAGCGAGAGAGAGCGAGAGAGAGAGGGAGAACGATACGAGCAAAGGAAGGTAAGGCCACAAGGCCTATCCTTTTTTCCATCTCTGTTTTGCCCGAGAGCACCTGAGCGAAGGGTTCTATGAAAAGCAGGTGCAGTACATATCCTCACAACTTACATCCGCACATATCTAGACATGCGCATCTTTACATTTGCGCATCATCGACATCCGTATAATTCCGTGTATATATAATATACACATATTTGAAAGCAGTCTTCACGGACCATATGACCAGGGAAAGCAGTGTCGTCGTGCCCAGGCATCTTATCGGCTTAGGCAAGCGGAACAAAAGGGACCCAGGAGGGTCTAGGTTGTGGGGCTTGGAGTCCCGGGTGTTTTCGAATTGGTAGCGGAGCCCCCGGCAATAGGCTGGGGGCATCCAGGTAGATCTGTTCTAGGTAGAACTAGGAGTAGAAAGCAGTGTTCACCACATGGCGTCTTCATCCAGCACGGATGGAGCTTTCGGCGGGCACCGCCGATTCAGCGGCGATTCGCTCGACCTGCGGGAATACTCCCCCACTGGAACTTGGGGGTGGAAACGAAAATGGCGGCGACCAAAGACCTCTCGGATACGCAGAGAGGACCGTTTGTTTTCTGCCTTTTAGACGGCGGCCGAGACAGTGGAGCACCTATCCCTTGACCAGTTGAAGGAAGGCAAAGGAGATCGCTATATATGGGCAGCTCTGGACGAACGGATCCCTGACAAGCTCACCCACGATTGGCTTGCAGAGTGCCTTCAAGAGGTGTTTCGCCTGGAGATGGAGGACAATGAGTCGATGGTCACCTGGACCGCCGGTGTTGAAGAGACCTTCAGCAAGTGCAAGAGAAAAGTTGAAGTGGATTTTCCTAGCCAGGCGAGAGGCTGGATTTGTCTGCGCAACTCTGCGCTCAACAATGACCAGCGAGCAATCGTCACAGCAAGAATGCAGGGAGACTTCAAATTTGAAGCCTTGATGGCAGCCATGAGAAGTTGCTACCCTGAGTTCCGAGCTCCTCCCAAGTCGACGCGCTCTTCAGTGTATGTGGCTCAACATCACGAAGCTGCCGCTGAACTCGACTCTCACGAGGCCCTTCAGGGGGAAGAAGAACCAGGTGCAGTTCAACTGGAAGAGATGGAAGAGTTCCTGGCCGAACATGGCGTGCAGGAGCCTCCACACACCACCCCCGAAGCCTTCGATGAGGCAAAGACCAGGTCCACTGTGCTGCCATGGTCACCCGTGAAGTGCTGCTAGTCTCCTCGTCTGGCTTCGGCGTTCTCGATTGAGTGTGCAGCCGAACGTTGGTTGGCCAAGGAACACTCAATGAGTTCCCCAGGCTGTACCACAGTGAGAGCATCAAGCTGCCAACCAAACGGCAACAACAGAATCCGTTTCGTTTGTGGAACGGGACAGAGGATTTGTTGGAACGGGTGGTCTCAATGCCGGTGTTCATCCACGGCCAAGTCGGCCGCGTCGATGCAGCGATCGTCAAGGGAGATGCACCCCTTCCTCTTGAGCCGAAGCGTTGAGGAGTCTAGGCGCTGTCCTCGATTTTGGGCAAGAAACCCTATCCATCCAGGGGAAGGAGCCGCGGAAGCTGGAGACCAATTCAGCTGGACAGTTCATGTTGAACATGTTTGATTGAGGCACACCCCCGCCTGAACCAGTTTGGCCATCTCACCAAGAGGGAAACCCGATGTCCTGATGCTCAAAAGCCTGCGTGGAGCAAGGAGAAGTCCGACTGCGCGGTTGCCGAGCTCTTCTCACCTCCGTGGTGGTGGTGGTGGTGGCGATTTCAAGTGGTACGCGGCAACCCTTTCGCAAGAATCGCGTGTCAAGTGTCAAAAGCTTAGGGAACATTTCGATTTGAAACTTTGGCGGCAACCCTCTCGCACGAAACGCGTGTCAAGTGTCAAAAACTGCGGGAAAGCTGCAATTTTGATGTTTTGGTGGCAGCTCTCTCGCACGAAGCGCGCGTCAAGCAGGGAATATTGCGATTTGAAGCTTCCGCGGCAACCCTCTCGTGCACGAAGTGGGTGTCAAGTGTCAAAAAAACCAGGGAGCAATGTGAGTTACAGGTTGTGGAAATTGCCAGAAAAGTGTGTAACTGTCGTCGAAACGAAGGTGGGCATTGCCAAGTTGTGTAGATGTCCTCGAAGACGAAGGTGGAAGTTGCCAAAGTATGCAACTGTCGTCCAAAATGAAGGTGGACGTTGCCAAAAGAGTCTGTCGTCCAAAATGAAGGTGGACGCTGCCACAGTGTGCAACTGACGTCGAAGATGAAGGTGGATGTAGTCCAAATGTAGTGCGGCAGCGGCTTCCGGAGCAGTGGCCTTAGAACTGGCAACTTTGTAGCGCAAATGCACGGGAAATGGGCGTCCACTGAACTACAAATTGGTGCGGGAAGCGGCTCGGGAGCTGTGGCCTCGGAACTGGCTACCAGTGTACCGCGGCAGGAACATCTCCTGGGAGACATCTGAGGGGCAGGACCTGAATGCGTACATTCTATGTGCAAAAATGCGCGCAAACTTATATGATCATCGACTGGAAGACATTTTTGGGGCAGGACCTGGATCCAGACATTTCACACACCTGCATAAACATCGCCTTGGAGACATCTTGGGGCAGGACCTGAATCCATGCATTTTACTGTAAAACTGCACATAAACCTGCTCAAACATCGCTTTGAACATATCTTTGGGGCAGAACCTGAATACAGACATCCTTTTAAAGCCTCGACTGGAAGGCAGTTTTTCGGGCAGGACCTAGAAGACATGTTTGCTTCCGTCGTCCTGTGAACGTCCTTTCACCTGATCCTTGTCTCACCCTCTCTTTCGTTTTCTCTCTCACCATCTCACAGCTCTCTTTACTTTATTGTTTCATCGTAGTGCCAGCACACCATACACCAGAGTAATTCTACACCTAAAGGCTCTCGGGCCCTCCGTCGTCTAGATCTTCTTCTTTTAGGACTTCTGTCAGAAATCGAGGTAATGTGGTGGTTCTTGGGTTCGACATTCCTGGCCGGATCGTGTTGACCTCAATGGATCGGTTGTTTGACATCAATCGGCCTGGGTCTGACAGTTTCAGGATTCACCCAACAGCTGGACACTTTATCGCGGAACACTATGTCATGGAAGGCGTGGGGTTTGCAGGCTTCACTGCAAGGCCGCAAAAGGTTGTTTGTTTCGTGAGATTCGCTCGATGCAAAACCTGATGCAAACTAGTGGTACCAACTCAGGTGAGACAGAAACATACTCATACTATGGCCCTCTGAACTTCTTGACGTACAATGTCAGATGCTCAAGGATTCTGGCAGCAAAATTGTCAAGTGCCCTTTCACGGTGATCGCTTGAAGGTTGGATTCCACAATGAGCACCACGACTTCCCAAATGTGGCCTGGGGCAATTTGCCAAAGGCCGAAGGGCACACTGATTTTGAAAGGCTTGTCACTTGCCACCCCGCCGGAATCCGTACTGGTCGCACACAGCCCATTGAAGACTTAACATCTTGATCAAAGACGCTTCACACAGGTTCGCGAGCTAGCTCCTGAATATTACTGCGATTTGCCACAATGTGAGTCCTGGCAGTAGGCTCAGTTTCCCCAGACCGACCAAACTGAGCTTTCCCTGCAGAGGTTTGGTACGCTTTTGCGGTACATCTTTGATGACTCCATCACACCCTACAGCCGCGTGAAACGAGCCAGCAAAAAGAAGGCGTCAAAGGCTCAGCCTGGTTCATTTAAAAGAACTATATACAAAAGCCGCTTGGCTGGAACTTGAAGCTAAGAGGTGAGCGGTGAGAGCGGTGAGATCAGTTGGGAAGCAACGTGTGGGACCCAAACTGAGCTGTGTTTTACTTGGTGACTTCTTGCATTTATATATATATATATGACAATGATTAATATGTATATATATATAGTAATATAGTATTGTTAGTTTTTCTCCGTTCTCTTTTCTTTCTTTCTTCCTCCCGTCGATGCAGCTGTGCAACTGTGAAGTATTTGGTGGGCACGACTGAGGGCAATACTGCTGCACGTCGTTTGACGAGCGCATTGGGCAAGAGCGCATTGTCCCATACTAGTAGCTGCCTCTATGAGCGCGTGAAGCTGTTCCAAATGGATGCAGCCTTCAGATACTAGCAGTGGGCTTCTAGATGTGATGTTCCACCTGTCGATGTGTTTCACCAGAATAGACCCCATTGCAGCTTGCTGCTTGCCGGCAAAATTTCAGCTTGTCCTGGATTGGCCCTTGATACTGTACATTTTGTTCTGCATACAGTGAACTTGCTGTAACTTGCTCACCAAAGCCAGGCTAGAGACAGAAAAAGTGGATGGGACTGTGCCAGAGCCAGGTGCGTGGACAAGCGATTAATCATTCAAGTGCTACTCATCCGTGAGTGTTCATTAGAATGCCTTGGTCGGTGCCCTTCATGCACTGACTCTTCCCATTGTGTGGAATCGAGGTGCTTCAAAAAGTCTCATTCCAGACCGTCCCCTTCCAATCAATGCATCTTGACAAGTCAGAGAGCAAGACAAGACAGTTAAGTCATGTTAAGTCCGTTTGGACAGAGGCGTAGAGGGGTGGGCTTGAACGGAACAAAGATTCTTCGTCCTGGTTCTTGAAGGAAGCGGGAATCCCCACGGAGCGTCTTTGAAAAACACCATTGCCATTGCTTTGTTCTGAGATATAATTAATGTAATTTTATTTGGATATTTTTCTCTTGTTTTTTGGTGTAAATTTGTATACAGTACCAATCCGTTTTTTTTTTTTTAACAGGTCGCGGTTACAAGCAGTTGCAACTTGCAAGCAGACCATGCTGAGGTAGCTGACTGGCAACGGGAACAGGAGTATTGGTTTAAAGGCTGACGCAGCCGACTCTTTGCATAGAGCTTCACTGGTCGTTGGAGCTTCACTGGTCAGGAATGAAGCCCCTTCCGGAGGGTTGGATTCGCTGCTTGTCCAGAAATTCCAAGCAGGCGGAGATTGCTGCTGACCGGGCTGACCAGCTTGTTTTCACCTTTTTACCACACATTGTTCATTCAAGATCTCTAATTCTTCCAGAAGACATGGTTTGGCTGGAACATTTGTAATGCATTTTTTTGATTATTCTTGCGTTTGCAGATGTACTATTACGACACCAAGAACTGCAAGTCAGCATCACAAGAGCCCCAGGATTGCAAGCTGCTTCACAATCAGCTAATCCAGCATTCTGTGAGTCTCCATCATCTCGAGCTTTGCAATCCTCCGTTTTGCTGTGAGGAGCCTGCCCAACCAAGAACACCAATGGCAATGCCTGGCTAAGTGCAGCAACAGTTTAAAAAACACTGGTGCTGAAAATGCTGACTCTTTGAGGGAGATGATGTTATCGCGGAAATCAATATTGATCATGTTGTCAAAGCCTGAACCATTGGAGAATTCCTGTTCTCTCGGCACTCACAGCTTTTGGTTTCACACCTGCAGACAGAATAGTTTTGTTTGAGATGGCTGACTTGTTCGTTGTTGTTCTATTGATGAGGCACAATCCCTGCTATACAATTGTGGTTTGCCCTACGACCCTGGTTGCGAGCCATGTCCATGTCGTCCTTCGGTACCTACGAACCATCTGATGCCATTCTTGCAGCAGTGAAGGCCGCGGAGTGGCTTTTCTTGAGCTTCAGCTACCTATTGAAGGGGCTAGTGTAGTTTATGTAAGAGGTTCATTCTTTTCTGGACAGAGACTTCCATTTCACATACCTAGGTTGAAGAAGCAGTTGATTTCATTGGGGTTAGACTTAGACTCCGCTGCTTTCCCTTGCAGGCTCGAGTTGGAAAGACCCTGCTGGCTGGGGTAGGTGCTACCCAAGAGCAGCAAAAGCTAGAATACTGGAGAAAGTAGGGTTGCGCGCAAAGACTAGTGGCAGGAGAACATGCCCTTGACAATGATGCACCAAAGTGCAGCTCTGAGCCATAATATGTTGTTTCCAATGGAATGCGTCAACTTGCAACCACCTGGACCTGGGGTGTCCTGTACACACCGTTGCACACCCCCCAAAGCTCCTGTTCAACTTGTCACATATGATTCAAGTCCAAGGTCCGTGCCTCAAACAGGACATTTTTGGTCTTTGTCTCACTTTGGTCCTTCAAATTGTGCAAAGCTGGTCGAAGAAGATGCAGTCTTTGCAAACTTCCCTGTTTTTCATTGACAGGAGTGCTCAGCGCACCAGGATTCAGACTGAATGGAGGTCTGCGGGATAGCGTGCCGATGGCTCAGCATGTATATATATATATATATAGTATTGTATATTCTTGCTAAGTCTTGTATGGTAGCTCTGGCAACTCCGAGCTTCAATTGACTCGTGCTCGTGCTTGTTCCAGGCCCCCGGAACATCAGAATCTTCCAGCTCCATTCCCTGTGGCTGAAACAGGCGCAGACTTTATGAACGCAATGCACCTTTGTATCCCCACCACTTCTGGAGCCTCACAGTTGAGGTTTCAGATTCCATCAGATTCCAAGACAGTTGTGTTAGCAGGGTGCTTACTTGGCAAGTTTTCAGGTGGCATTGCATTTGTCATCAAAGAGGCATGGCTTGTGCAGGGGGAGCGAAGTTCTGGGCTTGTGAGCTTGTTTTGACTAGCTGATTTTGTGTGAAAGTTGGTTCATATTGTCTTGATGCCCGTGGGACTGATCAAGCATTGATTGCTCGTGAGTAAGAGCTCTGAGTGATACCGATGCCGTGATGGGATGGGTGAGTGCAACATATGTTGGAGTGAGATAGAGTCCACAGAGGACGCGGCTACTTTGACCTGCGGGTCGTCTGGGGCTGACGAGCAAGAGAGCTGGTGGTTTTGGCAAGAGAGCTGTCCCAAGGTCCATCGAGCATGTTTGTCAAAATACCTTATGATCCAAGCAGAGTCAGGCTACTTCCCTGCGACGTGTCCCTTTTGTTTGCGGAAGCTTTCAGTTGTAGAACTTTACGAGCACCTGAGCAAGTCCGAGAAGAAGATCTGGTTGCAGCAGCATGACGGGTGGAGAGAGCTGCGGGAAAGTGGGCCGAATGGACGGCACCCAGACCTTGAAGAAGCAACTCTGATGCAAGACTTGGGATGTCGCCGCTGTCCTGGCTGTGGAGCTTGGATCGAAAAGCAAGCAGGAGCCAACGACAACAGCTTGGAAAGAAATCATGCAAGCCTCAGACCTTGTTGAGAGAAAGAAACATGACGCAAGCAACACAAGTCGGAGAGCTTGGAGCAAGGAGGTGGAATTCACAGAGTAAGACTCTACTAGCTAGGGTAGTTGAGTCAATCCATTCCCCTACGGCGTACCAATAACAAGCCACCAAGCTTAAGCGTGTTTTCTTTAGAGTAGTAGGGCCTTAATAGTAAAATAGTAATTAGGGTAGAGATGCTCATTAAGACAAGCATAGTAGCATCATGTAGCATTTGTCACAGGAGGATGGCTCACAGGCTGTGACAAGATGACTTGCCGCTGTGGTTGCCGCTTTTGCTTCCAATGTGGCTCGGTCGAGGCCAACTGTGGCTGCAGCCTGGGACACGACTTCCTGGACAGAGAGATGGCTCTCTCCAACACCTTAACAGCACCACTTTATGTTGAGTTTCCCCAAGAATTCTAGGAACCAAATCATTAAGGGCCAGGCTTCTTCACGGAAGCTTCCCCGCGCCCTCAGGCGGCGGAGCGGGCTTGAAGCCTGAGCCAGCCACTTCTAGTAGCTACCCGATACCCCTTACTACCAGCTACTTGAGCTCCTCCTTTTCAAAAACTAAGGTTCTCTCCAACTACACCCTACTTGATGGCCTGAGTCTGTGGCCTTTCTCGCTGTTCGAACCTGAACTGGCAGAAGTGGAAGCTGAAACACAGGCTTTGGAAGCGATGCAAGAACTATCAGCCCCCACCAGCGAAGGGTTGGAAGGCTTGGCCTCTGCCGAGGAGTGTCTGAAGCTCAGAACAGAAGCATGTCGAAGTGAAAGCCAAGCGGCTGAAACTTGCACATTTGATTTTGAGCCTGCACACGCTAGGCTTCAACCCTACAGGTTACACAGCTCCTGCAGATGGATGCCAGGAAGAAAATGGGGCAACCTGGCACGCAACCTTTCCATGATATCATTTGATATATTTATATACAGCATTTTCACACATAAAACACACACACACACATACCAAGTGCGGTGCTATATTTCTTAAGCATTTGTCTGAAGAGATTTGTGCCTCCAAGCTTGCATCCACGAGGTGCTTGCCCACGAGAATGAATGAACCAGCCTCAGTTGCACAGCCGCTTTTGTAGCACTTGAACTGTCGCGCTAGAGGACTTGCATTTCCTGCACACGCACATCCTGTGCAAATGTTTCAAGGTTCCGATGCAGTCCTATGGGGAGCCTTTTTTCTTTGAGTTCTTCGTGGAGGGCATTCAAGGGCGTTCGACTGCCTATCGCCTCGGCATCCTCGACCAGAAGGAAGCTCCCAGTTTTTGCATGTTTTTGCTTGACCCTCTACGTTATTGCTTCTAGCAAACATTGTTCCGTTCGTAGTAAGGCCAGGAGCCCCTAGTAGCGTCCTTGCTCCTAGTAGCGATGCCAGGAGCCCCGTTCGTAGCGTCCTCTTGTGCGCCAGAAGTGCGAAAGCATCTGATAGGTCCCTTGAGAGGACTTCGCGAATAACCTCTCGGGAAGGGAGCGGTGGAGCAGTAACAGCTCAAGTTTCCGCTTCACACTCACACTCTGGTAAAAAGAGTTCATTTGTACAGCCAGGCACATAGCTTCGACATCATTTCAAGCTTTTGTCGGTCCGTCAAGTCTTTGAATTCAGTGGTGTACAGACATGAAGGACACAGCATGTGTCACTGAGATCACTGGAAGCAGCTTCTCGCACCGCTCCCCACGCTTCGCTTGCTAGGCGAACTCTGCGAGCTTTGCCAGAGAAGACGAAGGCGACGAAGGCGAAGCTGAACTTCACAATGACCAAGGCGGAAACCGAGTCGCTCTTCGGTTGGAGGCCATCGCTCTTAGGTTGGAGGCCATCGCTCTTAGGTTGGAGGCCATCGCTCTGAGGTTGGAGGCCATCGCTCTTAGGTTGGAGGCCATCGCTCTGAGGTTGGAGGCCATCGCTCTGAGGTTGGAGGCCATCGCTCTTAGGTTGGAGGCCATCACTCTTAGGTTGGAGGCCATCACTCTTAGGTTGGAGGCCATCGCTCTTAGGTTGGAGGCCATCGCTCTTAGGTTGGAGGCCATCACTCTTAGGTTGGAGGCCATCACGCTTAGGTTGGAGGCCATCGCTCTTAGGTTGGAGGCCATCGCTCTTTTTTCGTTTCCGGCCACCGGCCCCAGCCACCCGGCCACGCGGCAACCCAGCCAGCCGGCCAGCCCTTCAGCCCGGCCACAGCCGGCCACCGCCAGGCACGCGGCCAGCCGGCCACCGCCGGGCACGCGGCCAGCCGGCCACCCCCGGCCATCCGGCCAGCCCCGACCAGCCCTGACCAGCCCCAGCCAGCCCCGGCCACCCGGCCAGCCTGGCCACCACCCGGCCACGCGGCCAGCCGACAATCTCACGACCAGTCACCTGTATGTTGGGGGTCGCGCCCCGTCACCGCCGTACGCCCTTGTTTTTTTGTTTTGTTTTGTTTTGTTGTGGTCGTCGTCGTCGTCGTCGTCGTTGTTGTTGTTGTGCCAAGCTTCGCTGAGAAGCGGAAAAGCTTCGCTGAATGCTGGCTGTTCCTAGCTGACTACTACACTCAAGGAACCTACACTCAAGCGCGCGCGCAACCTCCACTCAAGCGGCAAAGGGTTCGCCGGAATCAGTCGGCGCATATCTATAGCTGGCTTTAAGTCAAGTGACGTGTGCCAAGCTTTACAACAAATCAGCCTTAACCATGCAGGATTGATCATTGACATCAACGAGCTGATTTGTGCCGAGTCTTTGTCGCAGAGGTACCACTTCCAAGCCAAATTGGCGGCGTGCCTCCCCAATCTCCATGTTGTTGTACATCCAGTTGAAGCTGTTCTGCTTGCAGCATCAACATGCATCCGACATGGCTCATCGCTTATCAGAGATGAGCTTCATCATCGATGACTCCCACTCAGCAGGACACACCGGAGCGTATTGCAAGGAGCACTGCCTGCCATCCTTGAAAGTGAATAGTGCTTTGTTGGGCACCTTCCCAACAAGCATTGCTGAAAGCGTGAACTCGCAATTTAGCCTGTTAGGCCACACAGTGCACCACATGAACAAGTTCTTCGCCCAGCTATTCATCCACGAGCGCGCGAAAACACAACACGTCAAAGCTCCTGCGCCTGTGGGACAAAGAACGGGCCAGCGCAAAGAAGTGCAGAAACGGTCCGGATGTATAACAGGTCGGTTGATGAGTTTCACAACAGACTAGTTTTTGCATGTTTTCGCTGTCCGTAACCCTGCAAAATGTCAGCTTGCAAGGCGGCTGAGTGTTGTACGTTGTGCCTATTGCATGTATTCCCCACGGTCCTGGAGACAGTTTATAGTTACTGCTCAAGCTACCAACAATGTGTCACCAAAGGTGGTTTTGGACGGCCATTCCGTTTCCTTAAAAAGGTTTAGTTATTCTGGGGTCATGCTCAGGAGTACTATTGCAGGACAAAATTTAAACTGCCGCTCAGGAAGCACACACTGCGGTGCGGGGATACTACTCACCATCAACTGGAACCATCCCAGAATATCTATTTAAGGGTGCGGTGATCTGCAGATCTTCCACGCTTTCTTCCACATACAACCCTCACCCGCGCGACCTAAAACACGCGCCGACTCACTCACTTCCAGCCACCAGCCACCTCTGGCCATCCGGCCACATCTGGCCATCCGGCCATCCGGAAAAATGTTGGAGGCCATCGCTCTTAGGCTGGAGGCCATGGCTCTTAGGTTAAAGGCCATCGCTCTGAGGTTGGAGGCCATCACTCTGAGGTTGGAGGCCATGGCTCTTAGGTTTGAGGCCATTGCTCGTAGATTGGAGGCCATCGCTCTTAGGTTCGAGGCTTTCACTCTTAGATTGGAGGCCATCGCTCTTAGGTTGGAGGCCATCGCTCTTAGGTTGGA